CATGATTGCGCAGGGCTTTAATATGATATATCGCTCACTTCTTCTGACGATTGTTTGTGGTACCTGATTTTGTATAGAAGACAAAAAATAAAACACCAGAACGCATCAATAAAACGCACCAAGTTTGGAAACGAAAAACCGTGCTGGGTCAAAAGTATGAACTGTGTAAACTTTTCTTTATATTTAAAAAAATTCAATTCCGCAATTTGATTTCACGCCAATGTGGTTTGGAATCATAGCTATTAGACAAAACTTTGTACCATAATAGAAAATTCATCCATTGAATATTTTTAGAAGATGCACTTAAAAATAAATAGACTGATGTTATGAACGATAATTCTTTACCTCGTCACAAATAGTTTTTGGTAAAGGAGATATTAGAAAAATAATGACATTTAGGCTTAAAAATCAAATATTAGGTGTTAAAAATTGAGTCTTATGTGGAATTCATACGACCAAATAACTTGTTTTTGTTCAACTTTGGAGCAGTTTTGTAAATGGGACAAATTGCAATGCATAAATAATTCCACATTATTTACACAAGCTAGCTTGTCTAAGAATGACAACAGAGTCATGGTTTGTTTTGTGGTAAGCGCGCCAGGGATCGAGCACCACACTCAACAAATTTATTTTTAGAAATTAGTCTAAATTGTTCTTGGAAAATCAAAACAACAAATAATTTGAGATGTTTTTCTTAATGCAAGTGCAATCTTCTCTATGCTTAGACCAAAAAACCAAGTTAGACCTGTTCTAATCATTTTTATGGAACCCGATGGAATGTGGAAAAAAAAACAGAAAAATAAGCTTAGGTTATAAGCCAATAAGGTTCTTTGTTATTCTTTTCTTTATTTTGGCCAAATGAACATAAAGAATTTTTTCAACAAATGTTAACAGTTGACTGGTTGAGTCTATCAAAATGATGCAATTAAAACTAATACAACATGAATTTTGAATTGTACACTGCAGAAAAAACACAGTTTTGAATGATTTCAAAAATTTTATAAGTTTCGTTCGGAAAATGACAGCCCAGTGAATCCGACTTATCAAAAATTGGAAAACGAAAAATTATGCGGGATCATATCTAAAAGAATCTTTGATTTTCTTGAACGTCTTTTGAGAAAAAATTAGACCATGACTGAAAACGACCCTTTAAAATCGTATTTAGGAGTTTGACAAAAATCGCGTATTTTTTGGAGCACGCTCTTTTCCAACTTGAGTAAAGAGTGTCGCTGAAATTATCTTGAGAAACCAATTTTACATTCGCTCATATTAAAATGGATGTCGCTAAAGAAAATCAGAAAGGTACCAATAGGATGGTTTCGGAGAGTCAAATTTATGAAGAGAAATGCTTGCCTCTCCACCTGAAGCGCCTACTGATCAAATCTTTGCAAATAAACAACGTAGAAAGATTTTTTTGCTTTTCTTCCTTTTTCCCTCATCAGCAGTCAAAGTTATGGTTCTAACTAATTTCCAAGATTTTCATTGGAAGGTTTTTAAAGATGAGGAGTTTGCTCGTATCAGGAAGCAAGGACAAAGTTGTAAAAATTTTGATTGCTCTTGAAGATACCTGCAGCACTTTTAATTAAAATAAACGGAAAAATTAGGAGTTTTCGAAATATTTTCAATTTCCCAAGTAAACTTATATATGAACGATTATGAACAAATAAACAATTATATGAACGATTGCTTATTTCTCATCTAGTAACAACCCGGGTTGAAATCTCACTGTTTATTATCGCTTTTTCTGTAGTATCCCAGTGATCGCTATTTTCCAGCGCTGATTCATGTATAATTCAGTGTTTGTTGCATACATGACCTGCGATTTTTCAGTTATGGTTCCGTAGAAAATCATCGCTAAAACTTAAGAAATTTTAACTCTTTATAGTAGCTTCCAAATGAGAGTTTTAGTTGATAAGCCCTTTAACTTTTTTTTTCTGTTGATTGATAGCACAGAGGTAGCAGTTATGATTCCACAGAAAATCATCGCTAAAATTTAAGAAATTTTAACACATTCTATTAGCTTCCAAATGAGAGTTTTAGTTGATAAGCCCTTTAACTTACTTTTCTCTATCGGTTGATAGCACAGAGGTAGCATGCATGTCTGCAAATCTGAGGGTCAGGGGATCGCACCCATTTATTTTGCTATTTTTGCTCGTTTTGATAGGTTTTTTATAGCTGTTTCATTGCTGAAAATAAGCCAAATTAGCGATAATTTATCGATAAAGTTTGCTATTGTGGCAATGAACATCGATAATGCATCGATGAGGTTCGCTTTTTTCCACTTTTTTATCGCTAATTTTCAATTTGAGTTCAACCCGGAATATCATTTTTAACGGTGGCCAGTCAATAAGAAGAAAAGTCTAAGAGCAGAATGGGTCCAAGAGCAAAAAAAAAACAGAAAAACTTTAAACTTGTAGGCTAATCCGTTAAGTAAAAGAATTGCCATTATTAACAAAGAAACTAATATTTTATGTATAATTTGAGTAATTTAATCGAGATTCAATACATGCATTATTTATTCATTTTCTTGGTATTATTGACGATTCTGATAAAAATTTTAATCAAATAGACCGTGTAAATTAATAAAAGGAAAATTTTTTCTGTTTTTCTGCTCTCGGACCCATTCTACTCTTAGAACATTCTGCTTATTGCTCCGCCTTCATTGGTAACATTTTATTTCCCTTAACTTAAAATGGTTTGATTTGCTGCACACAGCGTGTTGTTGTTAGAAGACTGGTAAATAGCGCGCTTAAATTATCTCGCAATAGCCGAACTAGCAATTTTCAAACCAATGACTTCAAAAACAAACAATTCCAGTGCAAATACTTTTTTAATTGTGAGCTCAACAAACGATATATTTCACATGTTTATACCAATATTTAAAAAGTTCCGACATAAAATCCAAT